TGACCCAAAATCCACCCAAGGGGAGGGATTTATCCACCCTGGGGGTGTGACTGGAAGGCAGAAGATGGATAAAATACCAGACCCCAAGAGAAGCTTCTTGGGAGGAAGAGGGATGAGCCCAGGAGCTCCGTGGCCATCTGAGACCTCACCACCAGGCTGGGAAAGGCAACGTGTGGAGATGCCACGTGCAGAAAGGTTTCTACTCCCTGGGAGGATCTCTCTCCATGCAGGTTTGGTGACCAAGACCCTCTTTGTAGCCCCTGACCCCCACCCAGAACGTTCACTGGAATTAAGATTGAATATTCCAACGTTTTCTCCTCATGTATCAAAGCCCCCAGGTCCTCTGCTCCCAGTATGACCCAGAGCTGCAGGTCCAGGAGATGGAAAACAGGCAGAAGGCAGCAGTGGCCTCCTCCTGAGGTGGGTTTTGGTTTCCACCACCCTAACGATCTTCTCACGTCCCTTTCACCCCTCTCACAACTCTTGATCGTCCTGCAAGATGCTCCTCCAGCCTTGAGAAGCCAAGTAGGGCTTGCAAAGGGCCACCTCCAACCTGTCAATCCATCATTGATCTGCCAGTTCATCATCAATCTACCTCCAACCTGTCAATCCATCATTGATCAACCAGTTCATCATCAATCTACCTCCAACCTGTCAATCCATCATTGATCAACCAGTTCATCATCAATCTACCTCCAACCTGTCAATCCATCATTGATCAACCAGTTCATCATCAATCTACCTCCAACCTGTCAATCCATCATTGATCAACCAGTTCATCATCAATCTACCTCCAACCTGTCAATCCATCATTGATCAACCAGTTCATCATCAATCTACCTCCAACCTGTCAATCCATCATTGATCAACCAGTTCATCATCAATCTACCTCCAACCTGTCAATCCATCATTGATCAACCAGTTCATCATCAATCTACCTCCAACCTGTCAATCCATCATTGATCAACCAGTTCATCATCAATCTACCTCCAACCTGTCAATCCATCATTGATCAACCAGTTCATCATCAATCTACCTCCAACCTGTCAATCCATCATTGATCAACCAGTTCATCATCAATCTACCTCCAACCTGTCAATCCATCATTGATCAACCAGTTCATCATCAATCTACCTCCAACCTGTCAATCCATCATTGATCAACCAGTTCATCATCAATCTACCTCCAACCTGTCAATCCATCATTGATCAGCCAGTTCATCATCAATCTACCTCCAACCTGTCAATCCATCAGCAA